AGCGGGTACCATTCCAGATATAAACTTTCTTTAACTTGGATTGTAATTTCTGCTTCCTAGTAGTAGGACTCCAGCTGCCAATGAAGAAATTCAACTGTCAGAGACCACTTTGCTGTGAGAATCACAAATGTCATGGAAAGACCCTGATAGAGGAGATGCAACATGTAGAGAGAGGACCTGTCTCGTGGAAAAAGTAGACACATGATGAGGAAACTATCTTGGAAGGAGATATTCCTGCTCTAGCTTCCTCACTTAATTCCATGTGGCTCACACACAGATCACCCAAACAATCCCCTCTGGAGTTCCTGACCTACAGAACTATTAGATGCAACAAGATGGTCTTTATCCATTGAGTTTGGTTTTCTTTGCTAAGCAAAAATATCTACTTCCAGTGATCTTATGTAATCATCATAATGGCCATATGAGATATGAATTATTAATTCCAGTTTATGAATAAAAGAGCAAAAGGTTGGAGATTTCAAAACACATGCCCCATGTCATTCAACAAGTGAACCGCAGAGTCTATGTTCAAACCCAAGTATATCATACTCTGAAGCCCAGGAACCTTATGCTCCATCTAGTGTTGACACCATGTCCTGAAAGCCAATAGACAATTGAGGGGCTAGGGATTTAGCTCAGCGGCAAAGCGCCTGCCTGGCAAGCGCGAGGTCGTGAGTTCGGTTTCCGGTACCGGAGAAAAACCAAAAAAAAAAAACCAAAAAAAAAAAAAAAACAAAAAACCAATAGACAATTGGTCATGCCAGAGGCTCAGATGTCCCATTCCCAACCACAGGAAAGTTGGGTTCAAGAAGGAAGTTTTGGGCTTATGTTTCTCATAGAATAAAGCAGGAAAACATTGATTAGAATTGGTTTGGTTAGAGCAGCAAGGAATATTGGCTCCCTGACAATTGGCGTTAACAACGCTTTTTGCATCCATGATGTGTTTTTATTATCTTCCAAGGAGCAATTACTTTTGAAATGCTTTATTTTAAAAACAGCTACACTGGCATATAAAGCACATACCATAAAATTATCCATTCTTAATGTATGCTTAACTGATTTCCAGCAAATTTGCACAGCTGTGCAGTTATCACCACAATCCATTTTGGAACATTTATACCACTCTTAAAACATGCCTTATGCCAGATTATGGTTAATCCTCAATCCCTAACTGAGTCCTATAAACTACTTCTCTTCTTTCTGTCTCCACACGTTTGTGTTTTCTAAAATTGTTGTATAAATGGAAGTGTACAATATGTAGTTTATGTTTAGCTTCTTTCATTTAGCATTTATCAGTTGTTTTTTTCTTTCAAATATGGATGTCCGTATTTGTTTATACATTTGCCAGTTGGTGAACATATGGATTGGTTCCAATTTTTGGCTGCACTAACAATTCAGTTTTAGTGTGTTTGATTGCATAAGACAACTGACAAGACCAAAATTAACGATGCTTACAAATTCAGGGTTTACTTCTGGAAAAGAATCCAAGACTATAGCAACATCACTAAAGACCTCAAGTGATGCTTACCACAGACCTCAGAATCAAGAAGGTTGCCCAAAGTTTGAAGAGTCAGGAAAATGTAAAGTGATTATTTTTGGTGCAGGAATTTCCTCTCCCCAAAGACTCTCCCCAAAGTCCTCTAGACTGTTAGATCACAGCTTGGATTTTTTTGGACCTAACTCTCATTTTAGATAGCTAATGCTTGCAAATGATATAATTTAAATAAGTAGTTTTCCCTGATAATTCAATTTAAATTCTGAAATTCAAGAAAAGGATATCCTTAAATCTTCAGAATCATGGAAGACATTAAAAATGGAGTAGTTTGTGATTATCATAGTTGGTGTTGAGTAATAAGTCACTGCAAGGTCCTTGAATAAAATAGACTGAGAAGTCCACTTTTGCTTGATTATGTAAATGATCCTATTCCACAGTAAAATGATGTCAGATAAATCTGTAAAATACGTAAGGAAGTGCTTTTTAGTGAATTGGATTTTCTTAGGGTAATCTAATGGTTCACCTTCTGATCTTGAATAATTATATCTGCTTCATCCAGTGGCCTCTATTCTGAAAGGCAGAAATGTCTCACTTTTATCTATATCCCCTCTATGACTATTATTGTGCCTGGTGATGAGGCACATGATTCCGAGGTCTGTGGTAAGCATCACTTGAGGTCCTTAGTGATGTTGCTATAGTCTTGGATTCTTTTCCAGAAGTAAACCCTGAATTTGTAAGCATCGTTATTTTTGGTCCTGTCAGTTGTCTTACGCAATCAAACACACTAAAACTGAATTGTTAGTGCAGCCAAAAATTGATGAGAATTCAGAAAATATTTTTATTAACTTGAACTGATATCACCACTTTCTTTCACATAAATCAAATCATTGACTCCTTTCCATGGTTTGCAGAGCCACAGAGGAGAAAACCAAGCCTAAGAGAGGGCAAGTGATTTGCCCAAGGTACCTTTAGTAAAAGGTAATGTTAGGATTCAATCTTGGCTTCTGTTCTATGGAATCCTCTATAGACAGAGAAACAGAATACAAAAAAAAAAAAAAAAAAAAAAAAAATCAAAGACAAGAATTTTCTTGTCATCCTGGTGTTACAAATTTCACTTTTCTCTCCTTTTCACTCCATTGACTTATCATATTATACTCTTCAATTACAGCTGTCAACTTCCTCCCACCATTGCTCTGTATTTTGGGCTGTAATTGCTCCTTAAAAGACCTGAGCCCACATGCCTACAATTTCCCTATCAACTCAGCAGCCCCCACCACCTCCAAAGGACCATGGCTAACACAGCCTACAGAGGTATACATACCTCTGATTAGTGCCACTTTCCACATATTTAGTTATCCCTAGGGAAGCACTCTTCTGGAGTGTCTCTTAAGTGTTGTATAGTCACAACATTCTGATGTAGGTAGGTGGCCAAGCATCATTATACCATGTTATTATTGAAAAGTGGTACCTTTCAGGTAGGAACTGATGTGTTGATTCCTGTGACTGACTCAGAGTACAAAGGTGAGGTCCTCTGATATTAAAGTCTGTTTCTTATCCTTAAACTGAGGGCACAAGGCTCCTTCCTAAATAATAAATTAACCCTCTACTTTAGATTCAGCTGATAAGTGACTGATGTTAAAAAAAAGTAGTTGAGAAATAAAAGATACTGTCAATTTCTTACATATGGAAATTCTTGAAATGCATTTCTAAAGTGCTCAGGTTAAGTCAGAAGCTGAGAACAAATGAGAGTCTTAAACAGATGAGAAAATAAGAGCTTAAAGAGTGAGCAGGACTCTACCAGGTTATCCTGCAAGTAGAAGTGAAGACTTCCAGACAAGAGTCTTCGTAACTCTGGGTGAGTAGAGGCTGACTGAAGAGTGAAGCTTCTTGTGTCTGTAGGCTCCTAGGTACTTAATTCAGGGGAAGCTACAGAAATGCCAGGTCTCCAGGATAGTGTCTCCTGCCATCCACAACATATTGTTTCTTGGACACTCAGATCAAGAACCCAGCTTAGACAGTTGGGCCAAGAAAGCTATACATTGCTGAAGACATTAAATATCAAATCTAAACAAAAAACACTAAAAGGGTGATCAAACCCTCCTCTCTTTTAGTATATATATAAATTTTTTTTTTGAGACAGGGTCTTGCTATGCAGTTCAGGCTGGCCTTGAGCTCTTTCTGTAGCCCAAGCTGGTCTTGAACTTACAAGGATCCTAATGCCTCAGCCTCCTGAGTGCTGCTATTACAGGCATGAACCACCACACCTGGCTTCCTGCTCTCTTTTAGAAATAAGAAAAACTGGTCAAGAAGTTCATCCTAAGGACAGGAGCGAGTCTGGGGAGCAATGAAGGAACTGAGTGCAAAAATTTTCCTAATTTGAATCACAGGATACCTAATCACTGTCTCCAAAGAAGAGACTCATTTTCTTGGGATTAACTAAATGTAAGGAATGGAGGAAAGGCTGAGTTTCAGTGGTCTCAAGGCAAGGACATTGAAGAGTAAGCAGTAGCCTATTGTTTGCCAGAGACAAAGCCAAACCAAAACCACAGCTGTCGACCCAATTGGAAGCACCTGTGCAACAGACCCTTTTCTAAGTTCTCTGCCTGCAAGTTATTTGATTCTTATGGTAGCCTTGTAACAGAAGAGAAGAATGTGGCCCTCCACTCTGGGAAAGGCTTCCTACAGGGAGAACACTCTCATTTATAACAGTGCCTGAGAGACCGAGGCTACATTGAGATCCTTATAACTACTCTGTATATATGTAAACAATTTTATGTTTAAAACATTGTTTTGAACCAGGGAAACTACCAGTTTCACGTCTTAAAAACCCTACATTTCATATGATTCAAACTAATATGTAAAATATATATTCTCTATGGGAAGTAAGTGCAAAGGTAACAGACAGGCACAATAGTGTGGAGTAGATGCTTTAGATAAGAAGTAATTGCTGTGCACTCTCGGAAATAAAGAGATCAGAGAAGATTCTAACCAATTTTTGGTGAGGGAGATCAGTTAGGGGAGACCTCTAAAGAAAATGAGACCTTTATTGAGAGCTGAAGGATGACAGAGGACAGTGAAGGAAAGTAATTGCTATGAGCCAGATTTAACACATCAAGAAGCTTTGTATCACGAGGAAGTAGCAGTAATAGAACTTACACTTCCTCTGCCAATAAGTACAGCACCGGGCAGATGTCAGACAATAAACATCACAGGATTATAACCGCTGGGAATAGAACAAGAAACAGGATGAAAATTTCAATTGGCCAGTATTACATTTTTAAAGGCTGAACTCATAAGGAGTATGTCCTCTGATCACACAAAATTAATTGGAAATTATAAATAGGAAGCTCTGAGAATAGTTAAACAACACAATTTCAGGTAGCTCTCTTAAGAGTACAGACAATGCGCCTAGTTGTATCTTAGGCATTGCTGTCATTTGAGTCTGTATGCCAAAATTCATGTGTTAGAAACCTAATCTCAAAATTGGAATGTTAATGGTATCCAGCAGTGAGGTCTTTGGCAGGGAATTAGGAGTAGATGAGGAGGTTAGGGAAACCTACGATGGCATCGGTCGCTTTATGAAAGTGGAAGAGAAACCTGAATCAGCAGCTGGCTCCATCTTACGATGTGATGGCCTCTATGTTACAGTGCAGCAAGAAGGAGGCCCTCACTAGACACCAACACCAAACTCGTGTACTTCACTATATATATATGATTATATCTACAAAAAAAATTGGAAATGATGCAGAGCTTCACCACACAAGGTAGTAGGAATTCAATACCGGTTCTTCTACTACATATTGTTTTCAGATCAGTTGTTCTGATGACCAGATTCAAGCATGGAAATTTGGTTAAGAAAAAAGAAAATTTTAAGCATTGACTGTTCCTTTCAATAAACCACAGACATCAGCAATATACCTATCCCAGCTATCCTTGTACATACATATAAATTTTGTTGAGTTGGTTCTTTGAAAGGATAAATAAAATTGATAACCCCCTAGCCAACCTTATCAAAAAAAGTCAAGAAAAAACTCAAATTCATGCCATAAAGAATGAAAAGACAGAAATCACTATAGATCCAGTGGAAATTCAGAAGATCATCAATACCTACTTTGAAAATCTTCACTCCCATAGGATGGAAAACACAGAAGAAATGGACAGATTCCTAGAAACATATGAATTACCAAAGCTGAATCAAGAAGATACTAAAATTCTGAATAACCCAATATCAGTCAATGAAATTGGCAATGTAATTAAAAACTTATCAACAAAGAAAAGCCCAGGTCCTGATAGATTCACAGCTTAATTCTAGAAGAAAGAGGACATTTAGTGCCAATACTCCTCAAACTTTAATGAAATTGAAAGGCAAGCAATACTCCTATACTCCTTCCTGGAGGCAAGTATTACCCTGATACCAAAGTCAGAGAAAGACCCAACCAAAAAAGAGAACTACAAGCCAATCTCCCTAATGAAATTAGATGAAACGATTTTCAATTAAATACTAGCAAATAGAATAAAGCAAATCAGCAAGAACATTGTACACCAGGACCAAGTGGGATTCATCCCAGGAATACAGGGATGGCTCAACATATGAAAATCAATAAATGTAGTAAACCATATCAGCAGAGCCAAAGACAAAAATCACATGATCATCTCAATATATGCAGAAAAAGCTTTGACCAAGTCCAAAGCTCATTAATGATAAAAACCCTACAGAAAATCAGAATAGATGGCCTTTACTTCATTCTGATAAAAGTTATCTATCACAAACTAATAGCTAACATCATACTAAATGGACAAAAACTGAAATATTTCACTCCAAAATCAGGAACAAGACAAGAATATCCACTATCATCACTCCTGTTCAATATAGTTCTGGATACATCAGTCAGAGTAATTAGATAAGAGACAATAAAAGGAATAAGGATAGGAAAGGAAAAAGTGAAATTATCATTATTCACAGGTGACATTATGTTCTGCACAGAACACCCCAAAATTTGACCAAAAGACTTCTAGGTTTAATAACCAAATTCAGTAGTGTAGCTGGATGCAAAATTAACATTCAAAAAATCAATAACGTTCCTGTACACAAACAATAAACTTACTGAGGGAGAAAAACGTGAAACCATACACTTCATAATAGCATCCAAAAAATTAAATACTTAGGAATCAATCTAACAAAGGAAGTAACAGATCTATACGTTGAAAATTAAAGTACTCTGAAAAAGGAGATCTAAGAGGAAATCAGAAGATGGAAAGATATCCCTTGCTCATGTATAAGAAGCACCAACATTGTGAAAATGGCCATACTCTCAAAATTGTTGTACAGATTTCATGCAATCCCAATCATAATACTATTAGTATACCTCACAGATCTAGAGAAAACATTCCTAAAATTCATCTGGAACCAGAAGAGACCTAGAATAGCAAAGTCCTTCCTGGGCAACAAAAGCAAGTCACAATCCCTGACTTGAAATTATATTACAAAGTTACCATGATAAAATCAGTATGGTACTGGCAAAAAACCAGACCTGCAGTCCAATGAAACAGATTAGAAGATGCAGACACAGCTACAAACATACTTTGCCACCTCACCTTTGAGAAAGTGGCCAAATATATTTGCTAGAAGAAAGACAACCTCTAGGGGCTGGGGATTTAGCTCAGGGGCAAAAGCTCTTGCCTCGCAAGTGCAAGGTCGTGAGTTCGGTTCCCGGTACCGGAGAAAAACAAAAACAAAAACAAAAAAAAAAGAAAGACAGCCTCTTTAATAAATGGTGCTGGGAAAACTGGCTGTTTACATGATGAATACTAAAACTAGACCCATGTCTATTACTATACACTAAACTAAAATTAAAATGGATCAAAGATCTAAACATTAAATCAGAAACACTAAATCTACTGGAAGAGAAAGTAGGTAGAAATCTTGAAGATATAGGGATAGGCAGAGACTTCATGAGAAATACTCCAAAGAATTAACAACTGAGATCTCATCTTATTAAAAAGCTTTTGCACATGAAAAGAAATCATCAACAGAGTGAAATGACAACCCAGAGTGGGAAAAATTTTAGTCAACAGTCTCTCAAACACAGGACTTCTATCTGGAGCATATAATGAATTAAAAAAAACTCAGAGCCCCCCCATTTAAAGACCCAATCCAAAAAAGGGGATCTGAGATGAATGCACTTCTCAGATAAAGAAATACAGGTAGCAAATAAATATATGAAAAAATGTTCAACATCATCGATCATTTGAATGATGCAAATTAAAACAACACCGAGATTCCTTCTCACCCCAGAAAGAATGGCTGCCATCCAAAAATCAACCAATATCTTATGCTGGTGGGGCAGTGGGGAACAAAGAACCTTTCTCCACTGTTGGTGGGAGTGTAGCCTGGTGCAACCACTGTGGAAATCAGTGTGGAGATTCCTCTAAAAACTAGGTTTAGAGGCCCCATTCTACCCATCTATTCCTCATCTGGTTTTTTTTTTTTTTTTTCCAGACAGTTTCTCACTATACAGTTCAGGCTCACTTTGAACTGACTTTGTAACTCAGGCTGGCTTTGAATTCATGGCACTCTTCCTTCCTCAGCCTCCTGAGTGCTGAGATTACAGGTGTGAATCACCATGCCCTTCTGAGTATTTTCCCAGAAGAATTAAAAACATCATACCACAATGATATATGTGCACCCATGTTTATAGCAGCACAATTTGCAATAGCTAAATCTTGAAAACAACCCAAATACCCATCAACCAAGTAATGGATAAAAAAAGATGTGGTATTTTTATACAATGGAGTACTACTCAGCTACAAAGAAGGGTAAACTTGAGACCTTGATAGGTAAATGGATGCAATTAGAGATCATACTCATAAGTGAAATAAATAAATCATAAGTGAAACAAACATCATATTGTCTCCTTAGCTGAAAGAGTAAATAAGATCCAATATGTACAATAGATATTGTGAAATGGGAAGAAACTGTTCAAAAGGAAATAGAAACTGGGATGGGGGAAAGGAGAAAAGAAGAAAGGGAAAAGGAAAAGTAAATATCTATATCTATATGTATATCTATATGTTAGGATAGTTATACCATTAATTTCTATTAGTTCATTGAAAAGAAAGGTTTGTGCTTATCATTTGATCAATTTTTCATGCCTATATCTCATAATCTGAGCAACTTCTTTGAAGATAACCATAAGCAATGTACTAACCATTGTTACTCTCCTGTTATCTTGCTTTGAAATTTTGTATCATTGTTTTTATTGTTTTTTTCTCTTTAAAATAAACTTTTAAAATAAAAAAGCAACAAACACATAGGTAGAATATGGTTTTTAATAATAGTTTAAGCCTAGAATTTAACTCCATTTTACACATATACACAATGCTAATGGTATTTGAATCCTAACATAATAATCTTGTGTGTCTGCATTTGTAGCTTTGGAACTCAAAGAGATTCTGTGAAGAAGTGCAAGCATTTGACTACTTGCTTGTAACCTTCAGTGTAGATTTTTCTAGTAACTACATGACTAAAAAACATTATTTTGTTGTAAACTACATTCCTTTATTTCTCCATTTCTTACATGTAGTACATTATATTATTAATAGTGAAATGATATATGTTGATAGCTTATTCGACCTATCGCTTTCATTTTCAGGTACTTTATGAGGCACATAAAATATGGATTCTTTTCTTGTTTTTATTTTAGAAAAACAAACATTTGCTCTAATGGTATTAAAGATGACTAGCTTAGATGTTAAATATTGAGAGCTCAGAAAAAACCCTGAGGAGTGGAGAAGAAAGTCATTGTGAATATAGAATTAACAGAATTTGCAAAGTATTTGGATTTTGTGGATTAAAATTAAGCTGTGTTTCAACTTTCCCTTCTGCAGGCTAAATAAATCGAAAGCCATCATCCAACTTTGCCTATTTCCCAAATGCTTCATTATCTGGGCTGATGTCTGCACAACACATCCTAGGATCTCCAAATAGCATCTAGTTGTGGGTTTCCAAATGGAATTTAAACACATTAAATGAAGAGTGAAGCTTCTCAAATTTCACACAACTACGTCAGACACTAGCCCACAGATTTGACCAGGTACATGTACATACATGTTAGTGTATATTACCAGAAGGCCTGATGACATTTCTCATCTGCATATGTCAAAGAACTTACAACAACAAGTATCTGCATTTCTTTGATTAAAAATCTTCATTGACTGCAGATGACTATCACGAAGTCTGCTGAAGGTACTGGAATTGATGCATTACCGCATCTTGCAAACAGCCCTCACCTACAAATAACCAGATTGGTGTATACATAATACAGTTCTCTCCTCCCTTGTGTAGGATAATGGCAGACTGTGTTCTGCACTCCTCCCCAGAATTTCCTCAATAAGATTATGCTCTAGTTATCTACAGTAATAGCTAATTTGATAACAAACGATATATTGGTGAACTATCTTCTTTGTCTTGTTTCCTCTTTCTTCTACCAGTGTTTCTTTTACCTTTCATATAAACTACTTTGATATCCTATCTTTGTCTCAAGATCAGATTCTGAGGAAAGCCAAACTACGATGACCCATCACTCACTGGGTTAGTGTTTTCTTATTGAAGAGGAATGCCGCTGAAGAGCACAGGCCTGGGAAACAGACCTGGACTCTTAACTCTAACTTCAGT